TAGATGACAACAGTGCTATCACCCAAATGATAGGGACACTTAAAGGGTTAAAGCTTATACATGGGAAAGATGCAAGTAAGAGGAAAAAGGAATTAAGGTTCTTTTATCTTGATGCAGATAGTGGACATGAAACTTGAGCATGCATTGGTAGCACCTTATTAAAACACAGATTGCTGGACCCCAGTCCTGAGTGTCTGACTGAGTAGGTCTGGGGTGGATCTAAGAATCTGCATTTCTAACAAGCTCCCAGGAAATGGTGTGTAGCTGATCTATGGAATACACTTTGAGAAGCATCATAATGTGGCACGGTGGAGGCTTGGGAATCAGCATGGTTTTGATTCAAATTCCTATCTGCTCATTCCTTGCTTTAAAACCCATGGGTGTACTCTTCCCTCTTGCCTACAAGTCTCTGTTTTCTTCATTGGTTGCCTCCTGTCCCACTGTCCCCCTTGAACACCGGGCACTAGCCACACTGGCTTCAGTTCTAGTTCCGGGATAATTCAAGTTCTGCTTGAAGTACTTTTTTTTACCAATGTCCCTACTGACATTTCCTTCAAGGTCAAAGCTTAAATTCTTTTTTTTTTTTTTTTTCCTGACCGGTAAGGGGATTGCAACCCTCTGCACGGTGCGATCTGCACCACGCTCAGCCAGTGAGCGCACCGGCCATTCCTATATAGGATCCGAACCCGCAGCCTTGGTGCTCTCAGCACCGAACTCTCCTGCGTGAGCCACGGGGCCAGCCCTCAAAGCTTAAATTCTGTCTGTCTGAGACCACAGACAAAAGATGCTCTAATCTCCTATCTTGTTTTCTACTTTTTTATTTCCAACTTCACTTATTATAATTTATAATTATCTACTTATAATATATTTTTGGTTTGATGCCCCCACTAGACTGTAAGCTCCACAAGGGTAAGAAAGACTTTTTATTCCTCTTTTTATACTGAACATCTAGCTTGGTATCCAGTAAGTGCAAGAAAAACAGCTGCTGAGTTGGTGAGTGAATCTATAAATGAATAAACAATAATCCCTTTGATCTCATTACCTCATTTGTCAAATGCGAATAATACCCAAGAGTTATAAAGTTTTACAAAGAAAATACTTGGCTTGGCCCATGATAAGTGTTCAACAGATACTGGTTAACTTTCTACTCCTTTTTTTTTTCTCTCATTCTTTGCCAAAAAAGAGTAGAATGGGGGAAAAAACTTGAGTCCATTTACCTCTGTTTCCTAAAAAATTTCCTCAAGAATTATAATGGCTCTGATTTCATCACCAACCAAAAGTTCATAAATATTTTTCAGACAGAGAAGTCTCTGAAGAAAAAGCCAAGAGCAAAATACTAATAAGGCCATTAAGATGGACTCGCGTTCCCTGGAGTTAGCACTGAGGGGAGACTTCACAGAATAGTTCGCTAAACCCTGTCAGTATAGCCTCCAAGTCAGTACAGCCAAAACTGGGGAATAGGCCCTAAAATCTTTGAGTACACTGAAGTCTCATTTGCAGTACGTACATCTTGCACCAGTTTTTGGAGAACTACATGGTATAAAGTCCTTTCAGTTTTATGAAGTACACTGGATTCTGGACAATTCCTACACCATCAAATAGAAACAAATATTGATAGAATAGAAAGTTTTAGAAAGCCCACCTGTAAAGTTCTCCCCAAATCCCTTTTTAAGAGATGTTTTTCTTTGAAGTATTTTCGTGTTACTCTAGTGTGGATTGATTTAACAGCTTAGGATCCTAGCCACTCTATCACAATTTTATAATTATATCAGAAAGAAACTACAGAAGCGTTTGGCTTCCACGTGCTAAAAGTGGCTGTCGGGAGCACTTGGCTGGCCTCTTTTCTTTCGGGGCATTGTCATGCTGTCTGCTGCATGCAAACATTACTTGATTTGTCGGTCTGTGCTCTCCACACACACGTGCTGCCGGGGAACAGTCGTCCACTTCTCTGCCTCCATCACCATGGCTTCAGCATCCATCAGTCCAAATCCATAGAGGTGGCTCACTGCGGAAGGCAAGAGGCTGGTCAGCTTCGCTGTGGTTAAGAGCAACCTATGTGACACGTGTTGAGTTACAATGTCACTCAGCAGAGACCCCAGACAGATCCCCGCGGGATCCTAGCCATCTTACCAGCAATGATTTGAAAAACAAAACAAAACAAATAATCATGACAACAAGAAAATAAAGTGAATGTATATTATTCATTGATTATATTTTATTGCTAGTAACATGACTAACATTTATAAATTGTTACTACATGCCAGGCACTAGCCTATGCTTTTGCATTTAATCCTCCCAACAATCTTAAGATGTTAGCGCTCTTGCTATCATGAATTCGTGGATGAGAAAACTGAGAAGAGAGAAAAACCTGGTCACGATTGACTAGCAAGTCAATGGTTGAGCTGGATTTTGACCCCCCATAGTTTTGCTCTAGGGCCTCACTGTTAATCACTTGCATTTAAAAGTGATGACATCGTTGATTTTGTAAGAAAAATAATTAATGGGTTTAAAGAGAAGTGACACTGTATACAACTTCTTCTTCTTTTTTTTTTTTTTT